AAGTGGAAGAGGGCGCGTACAAAGCCTTCTGGTGACATGACGTCGCTGGAAGCCCGAGAAATTGCTTGCTCGGATTGTAAGTAAAAGAAGTTAATTTACTTTGAATTAGTTATATGTAACATGTTCATTAATAAAATTAACTTTTATAATGTAGGATGTCTTGGAGGAGCGAGTGTACACGGGAACTTTCATCCCTTACGGTCGTCAGGATATCTTGACCACTTGCTATTGGACGACCAGAACATCCAGGTCGTGTTTGAGCTGTTGGCCAAGGTGTGGGTGTCCGACGGTATTTTGGACCACCATCACAGGATATCCGCACCTCCACATCCACTGAGCCAAGAAGATATTGTTGCCTTGGAGATGGCTCTCACGGAGAAATTGACACCGACCATCGGGGCAAAATTGGAGGAAGAGTTGACTCCTGCCATCGGCGCACGACTTGAGGAGACCATCACTGCACATGTGCGGGAGCGGTTCCTGCGTATGACCTCCATGGGTACTTCAGTTGCTGATGCTCATCCTCCATCAGGTGCATTTTCAACCACAAATTGGTACTTGACTTGTGTTTCTAAAATCTTAGTCCTTATTAGAATTTACTGTATTTGTAGGTCCAAGAGTTAGCACAAAGGGCAGTTGTGCTGAAGCCACTATCGAGGTCACACCTGAGGTGGCATCTATTCATCCTGAATCCACAAAGGATGATCGATATGGCTTGTGGGTTGAGGTAGATGAAGGTCTAAGGCTAGTGGCCCATGGATCAGTTCATGAAGGGGCTTCAACCATCCACAATGTGCCTTTGGATCCTAACTTGGTCAAAGTAGTGGTTGAAAAGGTGGTTGACGCTGCGGCTAGTGTCCCTATCCCCACTAAAGAGGTGCAGACAGTGGGCCAAGCCCTTCAGACCTTCATTACTTGGCCCAGACATTTAGTTAGGTCAATAATGGCAAAGGTATGTATATGTATGGTTATAATACATCTAACACATAAATAAATTGATTTATTGTTTATGATTATATTTTATAAAATATGTAGGATGTTCGGCGGCCAAAAGACTTGGGTAAAGCTATTGCCACTCCTTCGCATCTAAGGAGAAGACACCAGGTTGTGGAGACTTCTCCAAATCCAATTTTGATCTCTTGTCTCTTTCCCCACAATTGTATCTGCAGTCATTCCAAGTTCCATGGGATTGTACATTATTTGGGATGACTTCTAGCAATATCCCCCTATACATTTCCCACACTCGATGCCCTGGAGATTGGGATGGGCAATCAATGTCTAAATATAGTCTGTTTTACAATTTTGGACATTGTAAGTTCATATCTTTCATGACTCTTTTCATTTTAGTAAATATATAAGCTATAAGTTCACTTAAATTGGCATATTTTAGGATGATGCACGAAATGATAGTGGAGCAGGGCATTGGTCATGTGTATGGATTCTTCGAGCCTCAATCCATACAAAAGTCTGGGAATAAGCGTGATCAAATTCTCGGTTACATGCGGAATTGGATGATCTGTTTCTAAAAGAGATATTTACCTTGGAGCATACCATCATTCGTAAGTTATCCCAGCCTCTTCCGGTTTTACACAAGTTTTTTTAATAGATTCTAATCATGTATATATACGAAACCACTGGCAGTTATTAGTTATTTGTCCAAAGCAGAATCTTGTGTGTTGGTTCTGCTCATTGGGAAGAAAACCGGACATGGAGCTAAAAAATATTGTAAACGAGTAAGTATTTATTATATTATGTCTAAACATCTTGATTATTCTATTTCTAAGCCCCTTCTTTTCAATATATAGTGCTTTAAAGGTTTGTAGTACATTAGATGGAAAACACATAAGTAAAAGCACGACTCCAAATTGGAATTTTATCAAAGTAAGTAGCCTTTATATATATTATACTATCTATTAATTTACGTTCAAATTTAATAGTTATTTTTAACATATTTACTCATTTTTAGTGTAACAAACAAAATAGAGGCTACGAGTGCGACTACTATGTAATGTATTGGATGTGGCTCATCATTTTTGGTAGCATTCAGGATAGTTGGGACGAGGTAAGTTGACATTTGCTATTATATTCAATTCCTTTATTTTTATTGCTTAGGGTTTACCATTCTATTATTGTGAACTTCTTACAGGCATTTAAAGATATAGAACCTTTGCCTATGGATACTATAGACATGGTTAGAAACAAATGGGCAGAAAAGTTTGTACAAGTAGTTAGGAATAATAGGATTGATTGATAATTTTAGTGTATTATGTACATAATGTGGATGGACTGAGATTTTGTGTATTGTGTAAATATATAGTGATTAGGTGAAAAGACCTGGTTGAGATTTTTGTATATTATGTATATATTGTGTAAATCTGGCTGGACTGAGATTTCTGGACTGAGATTTATAGCAGGTCGTGTATGGTAGCACAAAAACAGAACAATTTTTTTTTTTAAAAAAAGGGATATTCTACGTCGATTATTGCATTAACCGACGTTGTAACGTCAGTCGCTTGAGCGAAACGTCGGTCGCTTGAGCGAAACAGCACCCGAGAGTCCCCTTTGTTTGAAGGCTTCATCGCTCAAGCGAGTACACCGGTCGCTTGAGCGAGAAAGGACTTTCAACGTCGGTTAGTTCAATGTCCGACGTAGAAATGAGTAAATTCTACGTCGGTTATTGAACTAACCGACGTTGAAAGTCCTTTCTCGCTCAAGCGACCGGTGTACTCGCTTGAGCGAAACAGCACCCGAGAGTCCCCTTTGTTTGAAGGCTTCATCGCTCAAGCGAGTACACCGGTCGCTTGAGCGAGAAAGGACTTTCAACGTCAATTAGTTCAATAACCGACGTAGAATTTACTCATTTCTACGTCGGACATTTGCTTAACCGACGTAGATGTCTAACACTTTCAACGTCGGGTATTCTGAACCGACGTAGAATCCTTTGACATTCAACGACGCCTGATTCAACGACGTCATTGGAACCAACGTTGAAAGCCTTCTACACCCGACGTTGAATGCTCATTCTGCAGTAGTGTATATTAAATAGTTTAAGTAAAACAAATAAAAGTAAACAAGCAAGTGATATTCAAGGGTAATTTATTATTGTTTAAGGGCATTTCATGTAACTTAATTGTACACCATCGTTTGTTTGGCCACCTACCAAAGATGTATCACCATCACCACTCGTTTTTAATTCCACATGCTTCCATATGTACCCAAAGTTGTTGTTCTGTTCTTCCACTTAGGAAAATATCTGTTTTTTTTTCTTTTATTATGTTTTTGGAAAAATAAATAATACATTTTAGTGTATATATATATATATATATATATATATATATATATATATATATTATTTTGGAATTGTTTTGAGAAAACTTCTTTCTAATTACTTTGAAGCAAAAAGTTATTTTATGTATAAGTTAACATTAATTTATATGTAAATTAAGAATCAGATTTTGAATGATTCAAATATTTATGTAACCAAACTTACTTATTTGTTAATTTCCAGAGTGTTTTACAAAGTAATTCTATTTAATATAGGAATGAAGGATGAAAAAGGTAAAGAAATTAAATTAAATATTACAACTATTTTTCCTGGTTTTCTTAACTCTATGTTACTTTCTATAATCTATTTTTCTCTTTCTATTTATGTAAAAAAAAAAAAACTTCCAATCTTTATTTTAGTATCGAATATCTTCATTATTTTTTTATCTTTTTTTCACACTCTATCTATAGTCTTTGTAAAATAATTTTTTATAACTGGTCTTAATTCCTACATAATTTTGTGATTGTTTATAGCACTTACAATAAACGGTAAACAAAATGAAATAAAATAGCTTTATTAGATTAAAAAAATTTGAAATAATGTGTAAAAATATTTAAAATTATAGAAGAATATAAGTAGCGAATTATAATGTAAACTTTTCATAGTCTGAGATAGCTTTATGATATTTTCAAAATATTAAATAAAATATAAATACATTGAAAATATTGAAATATTAATTGCATAAAAAGTAATGAAATAAAAAAATTATATATACAATGTCAAATTAAAAATAGTAGTACAAGTGCTGATTAAAAAATATTGAAATTCAGTATAAATTAGTGAAAATTATTAAAAATTTAAATGTGGAAAATTACAAAATAGAAAATTAAGAGTGTTATAGTTTTTTTTTACTGTCTTTTATCGAAAAGGTTATTTCTGATGTGGCTTAACAAAAAGATAGAAATTGATTATCTATCTAAAACAGAAAAAAAATCTCTGCAGAGCAAACTATATTTATAGTTCTTCCTTTCATACACATACACGAAATTCCCCCAAAAATAAGCACAAGAAACATAAAACGGAAACCAATGATACGAACCACCAACACATATGTATCTACGGTTTCCCGAATTCCCAGTTTCATAATTCACCATTTTGATGAACAAAAACCCTATCTGCATTGAGAGTTCCTAAGAAATCCTGAACTGATAACAATCCATTCCAAAACCAGGTTCTGTAAATCGATCAATATTATCAGGAATAGTAGGGGATGTTCAACCTATTAATAAATAATAAATAAATATAAAAGAAAAAAAATAAATGAAAGAGTGAAAAAAAAATTATAGATATATAATTAAATAAATTAAATGATGATTAAGTTTAAAGTAGATAAAATAATAAATTATATAAGAGTTAAAAAAAATTGAAAAGATAAAATTATAAATAAATAAGTAAATATAGGAAAAAAAATTATAAATAAACAAATAAATATATATTAAATATTAATTAAGTTTGAATTGAAGATCGTAAATTATAAGAGAGTAACACTGATAAAGATCCGAAGCAAAGGGGTTGGGAAGGCAAACACTTACTGCCTGGCTGCAGTGATGGTGTGCGTGATGGTGTTGGGTGTGGCGATGGGCCAATTCACATGCGTAGATGTGAATCATGTACGGCGGAAGCTTGCGGGTCTTACGTGAAAACAGGAGGAAACAGGGTGCCTCTAGATTGCTGCATGGAGGTCATAACCCTCAGAAACAAGGTCAGGAACTCAAGCCAAATTCAGAAAAAAGCTTGCCATTGTCTTCAAAAGGTTGCTGAGAAAGCCACAGATCGTATCAACTCCACAGCATATGCAAGTGTTCCTTCAATGTGTGGCGTTTACATGGCCCACCAATTCAGCATCGACATGAACTGCGACAAGTACGTAACTCATCATCCTTCATATTAATCATCTTCACACCAGTTTTCTGTAACTCACTCATGTTAAAAGTAATCTAACTTTTACATATATAGAAAGAGTTCTCCATGTAATAAAAAGCTAAGAATAACTCCAAAAGCATATCTAAGTTTTATCTTTTTGATATATGGATGATGAGTGCATAGACGATTATTAATCTCAAATTCATTTCTTGCAGCCTGGTGTAAGCAGCAGCTTGAAGATTTACTCGTGAAGTTACGTAAGTGCCATGATTAATCTTAAATAGGTTACTCCACAGATGTGGAGTATGATTTAAACTTTTACAGTACCCGGTGTTCTGTATATATTTTTTTTATTTTTTATCAATGGTGGTATATATTTTTTATGAATGAAAAAATTTACTATATAATTTGTTAATCCAGCTTAGTTTAAAGACAAAACTTAGATCCATTAAAAAATTGATGATTGATTTAACATCAACATAAAAACAAGGAGTCTACGTCATAAGTGAGTTTTATTTTAAAGAACCAAATTAAAACTGTGATTTTTTTTGTTTTTTTGTTTTTTTTTTTGTCTCTGCTAGAGTCAACTAATCGTGATTTTATTGTATTTTTTTTTTCATGTCTAAAATATATGAAATTAATATTTTTTATCATCAGTGTCTTGCAATACATTTGTAATAAATTAGGCATGTCTATTTTTTGTTTATTAAACCGATTATTATAAAATATATTTAAAAATATTTTTTACATGGATTATCTAATAATTAATTTAAAGTAGAGTTTTTTTTTAAAGAAAAAGATTATATTTTATTTATTAAAAACCTTTAAATTTGATTTCTTTTCCAAACTTTTTTTTCAGGGCACTATAAAATATATAGTTATATGTTAAATAAAATTAAAATGTTCCAAAGAGTACTAACTCTAAATCATAAAGGTAAGCAAAATCAAAACACTAAATGATCCAATGGAAGCACACTACACACAATATGCGAGCTATAAAAATGGTATGAGGTTTGAGTGATGACCATCGATATCAATTAAAGACATGTTATTGTAAATGAATAAGAAGTTTACTAAATATTGGCATGAGCATTGTGAGAGATTCTTGTAATTGAATGTAAAATCCAACTCTAGCAATAGATATATTACTTTGTTTAAACATTAATAAGTACTTTTTAGATCAAGTCAAACATTATAAATTAAGATTCAGTTTGGATAATTTTCTTAGTAAGTATTTATAGATTTGAAAAAGTAAAAAAAATAATAATTACAATGAATCAAACTTTTTTATAAGTAATATTAAATTATATATTTTAAAAAATAAAAATTCTCTAATCAAACATTTTCAAAATTAAGATACACAACTTAATTTTTATTTTTATTTTTAAGGTAAACTTAGTGGATTTTAAGTTTACCTACTTATATGTATACACTTATAAATAAGTATTTATTGGATAAATTATCAAAATTGAACAGACCTATAACGTAATAAATCCAACTCAGACTTTATAATTTTAAATCAGCCCAAACCTTCTTAAGTTTATCCTCATGTTAACCTATTTTGGCATGTTTGGTATATATATATATATATATATATATATATATATATATATATATATATATATATATATATATATATATATATATATATATATATATATATATATGATTCATTGACACTTTGGTAATAAGTAAATTATAAGTCAAATATATTTATTAGTTACCTGATTATGGAACTCAATTTATTCTCAGTGTAACGCATGGTATATTTGATTCATTCTTCTTCTTTTTCTGCAAATTTATAATATTATTAATTGAATTCTAAGTCATCATTATTAAATATTCTGTAAATTTAGAATCTTAATTGTTATATTTTTTTATTGAACAAAAATAAATAGAAAATCCAATATATCATTGGACAATCAACAATATTGTAATACGTTGACGGAGATGCAGAGCATCATCCCAGTATAAAACACTCCCTAGTGGGAGATCAGACAAAGGAGAAATTAAATCATCTTTCTTCCCTCTCTGTTGTTATTATTGCCAAATAAGTAGATATAGTCACCAAGGATGAACCCTAGTGCAAGCTGCTCACTTCACCCTACAATGAACAAAGTGAATTTGATGTTAGTATCTGTATAAATATAATATTATATGCATGAAAAAGTCAAATATTTGTTAATGAAAAGGAACGGAATTATTTAAACACAGTTTCTTTTCAATGTGATCAGCATCATAAACTAAGCAATATAATTTCCTCTGCTATTTATATATATATATATATATATATATATATATATATATATATATATATATATATATTAGTATATATATACCGACATGGTTTAGTGTTTAAAAGATCATTCGGTATGATGTTCATGTGACTGATCTTACGTGGAGCAATCAATGGAGGGGCTGATCTTGTAGGGCAGGTTGACCCCACAGTTGCTAGGGAGGGTTGCAAGGCTTCGAAGATTGAGTCCAGGAATGGCCAAAGCAGTGTTTTTGAGGCACGTACACGCTCCTTGCCGATCTGCGGTGGTCTTGGCTTGGTTGTTGAGGCTCTTCACCCCGTTGCAGCATGCTGCAGGGACAGGTCCACCAGGACCCCTTAGGAACGCTATGCATGATGCTAAAGTGAATTGCACCGTCCCACATGGAATCGCTGCTTCTGCCAAGGGAATAATCTCCCCTAAACCAACCATCAACACCACTACCATGCAGGTAACCTTCAAAAGCTGAGAGCTAGCCATGATTTGGAATAGTTGGAGAAGGAAATTACACTTTTCCAAGGAATGATATTGAGGTTGTGGATTGTGAATATTTCAATGGGTGTTTATAGAGATCATGGATTCAACCTGGGATAGTTAAATTATGAATTAATGTGAAGTAAGGAATGGTAGGCATTGGTTGGTTTCATTTAATGCAAGAAATTGAGTGACAGAAAACCGGTACCTGTAATAATAATACAATGGCAAGGTGCATACCTGCATGCCCTAAAATGAGTTTGGGACCACTAAGAGATATTGCCACTTTCCTCAGAATTGAAGGTTTTCATACAAGTGCACGTTATTACTGACTTACTTGTTTACTACAGTCCAAGTTCTGTTAAACTTTAGCCAATAACTATGACCAAAACACCAAGCATTGAAACTAAATCAAAATTCTGCTTAATGCTGTGTTCTATATTCAATAACTGATTATCACGTCCAGATTCATAATTTTTTATGCCATCATGTCATTTATTTGAAGTGAAAGAATGAAGAATGAAAAAAATTTGTCAGTTTTGTTTGTTGATGCTTCCAGCTTCCATTTTACAATCTGAAACACATGATGAAGTGTTTGCTGATGCTGAATTGAGGGAGATACTGAGGTAGAGATAATAAGAAAGAGAAAGTAAAAGGCCTAAGACTACAACATCTAGAGTTCGGGATAATTTTAGTAAAGTTGGTAAAATGGATGGTAAAGAGAAAGCTTCATGCAAGCATTGTGGACAAGAACAGAGATGTAAAAGTAGGCACTTATCCCTATTGCATCATTTGACAAAGAGTGATATTATTTAAGAAGAAACAAATGCACATGCGAGAAACGTGGTAATTGATCACCCAACATGGATGGATTGTCATCTAGCTTTGTTGAGTATAAGTGGATTTAGGGAGGAGTGTCGATAGGAAGGTCTTTCAATAACTTTGGACAATCTAGTGTCACTGAAAAATTAATTTAATTTGCAAAATACTTTAATTTATGATGGTAATTACTTTCATGAGAGGTATAGGATACATATATTGAATCTTATTATTCAAAGAGTTTAAGGAAGATTGCATTCAAGGATAGAGTTCTTCAAATCATGAATAGACGCTAAGATCAGTTTTGAAATGGATGTGCTAACTAGGTGGAATTATTGACTTTTTCTGATAGAAACTATGTTCACTATCCGTCAAATGAAAAAAGCTGCAAAAATGTGTTCTTGAAGCTATTTTATGTCATGAATAATTTCATTCTGGTTTATCTCATCCAACATTTAATCATTATTTTATTTATATGCGAGTTTGAAAAAAATGAGTAAAAGTTTATAGAGAGTGATTATCCATTGATTGAAATCATAACATCGTAAATGAATAAAAAGTTTATTCAGCGTTAGTATTGTGAGATTCATGTTATTGAAAACTGTGAAATCCAACTCTTGTCCTATATACATATATATTGATTAATTTAAGCATCTTAATATTAAATATAATTTCAGATGAAGTCACACATTCTAACTAAGATTCAGTTTGGGTAATTTTGTTAGTAAGTATTAGATATTATTTGATATTGTTAAGATATTGTTAACCACAATATCAAATAATATCTTCTGTTTATTTTGTTACTTTCGATTACTCTTTTAGTTGTATCTCTCTATTATAAATAGATTACCCTATGTGTGATTTATACACAAGGGAGATTAATTCTAAACCCTATTTTCTCTATATTCAACATGGTATCTAGAGCTTAAGGTTATCTTGAAATTTTTTTCGCCTTTTGTCCACTGCTGGAGCCACCCCACCGCTGCTGGAGCCACCCCACCGCTGCTAGAGCCATCCCACCACTGCTAGAGTCGTCCCACAGCTACTGGTAAACTGATCCTTTACATAAGAAAAGAATTATCTTTGTTACTGAATTTTATTTGGTAGTGTGAAAGTGCATGTCTAGAAAAGTTCTGGCAAGGAAAGACTTGGTATTTAAGCGTGTCCATTAGTGACCTACTTCTCTTTCCTGGGAACTTACCTGGTGTACTCGTTCACGCCGTTATCACTATTGCCTTCACCGCCTCCGTCCTTTATAACTTCTTTCGCTCCTTTTAGTACTTCCAATTCTGTCAGTATTGCGTCTGATCCTTCCATCTACACTAACTATGTTAATGTGCACTTATCCATTGACAAGTTAACTGACCCTAATTATGGCTTAAGAGTCAGAAGTATCTTGATCATCTTGCCCCGAAAGCACCTACTCTTATTCCTGGTGAGGAAGACCGTTGGGACACCATTGATGCTCAATTATGTGTGGTTCTCAAGGGTACTCTTAATCCTTCGTTAAAACAAATTTTTCGTTCCTACGAAACATGTGCCAAAATCTGGGAACATGCCAAGTTATTATACACCAATGATACTCAACGTCTTTATGATGTCTGTTCTAAATTTGTAGATGTTATTGCCTCTAAACATCAAGATTCTATGACTGATTATATGGGCAAAATTTATGCTCTTTTTCATGAGTTCAATGAGTTATTGTCTCCTTCCCCGACCCTGCCACCGAGATAGCACAACGATCAAAGTTCTTCATGCTAGGGGCATTACACGGACTTGCTGATCAATATTCACATATTCGTGATCAGATTTTGGGTTCTCCCGTTGTCCCCACCTTGACATCGACCTGCTCCACTCTTTTGCATTTACCAGCAAAACCCAACCCTGACACACCTGCTTCTGTTAATGATTCTTCTGCATTGATATCTCACCGTGATGACCGAACTCGCCCTCGTAAACAGGAAAAAGGACATCCTAAGTGTGAACATTATGGCAAGCTAGGTCACAAGATTGACCACTGTTATGCATTACATGAGTGTGAATATTGTGGTAAGCTAGGTCACAAGATTGACAAGTGTTATGCATTACATGGTCGTCCTCCTCGATCTGCTGCAGTTGTTCAGAATGATCTTTCTCCACCTTTATCCGCTAAGGATCCTCCTTCTTCTATTTCATCAGACACACCTGCTATGTTCAACAAATTTCTCAAATGGTATAAGGATCAACAGTCTTCTAGTTCCACTGTGTCTGTCGCACACATAGGTACATCTTTTGCTGTTCTGACCCAATCTTCTTCTGGTCCTTGGGTATTTTATTCAGGAGTCACTGATCATATTACTAGTAACAAATCTTTATTCTCCTCTTTATCCTCTCCTAATCCTTTACCTTTTGTTACACTGGCTGATGACTCTAGAGTATCATCTCATGGTGTTGGAACGGTTAAACTTTTCCCTTCTTTAACCATTGATAATGTTCTTTATGTCCCTGGGTCTCCTTTTAACCTGTTATCCATCAGTCGTCTAACTCGTTCTCTTGATTGTGTTGTTTCTTTTACCAATAATTCTGTGTTTACAGGATCGGAGTTCGAAACAGGTGATTGGCACAGGATGTGAGTCTCATGGTCTTTATCATCTTCGTCCCTTTACACATGTTGGTGCAGTTATATAGTCTCCCTCTCTTCTTCATGCTCAGTTAGGTCATCCAAGTCTTGTCAAGTTACAACAGCTTGTCCCTGCCTTATCTAAGTTGTCTAGTTTGGCATGTGAATCGTGTCAATTAGGCAAACATAGTCGTACTTCCTTTCCTCGTAGTGTCACATGTGGTGCTTCGTCCCCTTTTGCCGTGGTTCACTCTGACATTTGGGGACCTAGCCGCGTTAAGTCTACTTTAGGTTTTCAATATTTTGTTACTTTCATTGATGATTATTCCATATGTACTTGGTTATTTTTAATGAAAAATCGTTCTGAAGTATTTCATATCTTTCAATCTTTTTTTAATGAAATACAAACTCAGTTCGGTGTTTCTATTAGAGTTTTGCGCAGTGATAATGGTCGTGAATATCTTTCTCATTCTTTTAAACAATTTTTGGCTTCTCATGGTATTTTGCATCAAACTTCTTGTGCTTATACACCTCAACAAAATGGTGTACCTGAACGTAAAAATAGACATCTTATTGAAACAACTCGCACTCTTTTAATTCATGGAGAGGTTCCTCAGCATTTTTGGGGTGATACTCTTCTTACTGCATGTTATCTCGTTAATCGCATGTCATCTTCAGTTTTAGATAATAAAATACCTCATTCCATTTTATTTCCTCATGAACCACTTCATCCCTTACCTCTAAGAGTTTTCGGGTCTACATGTTTTGTTCATAATTTCAGTTCTGGTCTTGACAAACTTTCTCCTAGATCACATAAATGTGTTTTCTTAGGGTTTACAAGATCAAAAAAAGGATACAAATGTTTTTCTCCTTCTCTTAACCGTTATTTTGTGTCTACAGATGTCACCTTTGATGAGTTCTCTTTTTATTTTAAAAGTCAATCTTCACCTTTGTCTCCATCCAATCTTGTCAACACTCCTAGTACATTTAATGTTCATGTTGTTTGTGACCCTCTAACTGTGTCTTATTCACCATTAGTTTCTGCTCCGCAGTCAGCTTCTTCTTCACCGCCTCTTCAGGTTTATAGTTGCCCAAACCAATCACAACCACCACCATGTGACTCCACTCAAATGTAAACTACTCTGTCTCCTCCGGATGTGACACCTGAGTCTGACCTTCCCATTGCCCTCCGGAAAGGTATCCGTTCTACACGTAATCCCTCTCCCCATTATATTAGTTTGAGTTATCATCGACTGTCATTACCTTTTTATACATGTCTTTCCTTTCTTTCTTCTGTGACCATTCCAAAAATTGTCCGTGAAGCTTTAGCTCATCCTGGTTGGCGTCAGACCATGTTAGATGAATTAAGTGCTCTTCATAATAGTGGAACTTGGAAATTGGTCTCATTAGCGTCTGGAAAATCTGTTGTTGGTTGCAGGTGGGTGTTTGCTATCAAAGTTGGACCTGATGGTACTATTGATCGCCTCAAAGCTCGTCTTGTGATCAAAGATTATACTCAAATTTTTGGGTTGGATTATGGAGATACCTTTTCCCCCGTGGCAAAGATGACTTCTGTTCGTTTATTTAT